AAGCTTGTCAGATCTCAGAAGCAGGCCTGGCATGATCCTGGATTGTGCTTCAATGGGTGACCATCAATGCACAACAAGTTGCCCCAGGATTACAGGGCTACGTGGTGGGACAGCAGAGAGCAGTGCGGCAAACTCCCATTGTAGCCCTGCACGTACCCACGCGCCTACACCAACACTCCCCGCCTTCACCAGCCCGCAGTAACCGGGCAGGTGAAGTATAGCCAGACAACTCCAGCAGTGGACCGACAAAGTGTGCGCGGGCCCTCGCCCAGCCGTGGACCGACACAATGGCGTGTTTATATAGTTACATGGTTTCTGCTTTTATAGTTACACTGTGCTTGGAGTGTCAACAGTAAATACGGGCGTTGCAGTGAACGAGGCAGCTGTCGGTACGCTTGGCTGAGGAGTGTCTCGTACACGTGTCCCCGTCCCTGCGTGTGACCAGGGGCTGTCGCGGCAGCACCGGCAGCTGTGGTCGCACTAATTGACTGAGGGGGCGTTGACAGGGCAGGCCCTTAAATCCCTACTTGCCAATTTCCCATTTGAGGGCCACAATTACAATTTCACTGTGACCCCCCCCCCCCCTCCTGTCTGGCAACGCAGAGGCCGACTCGACGAGCTCTGTCCCTCGTGTGCTCAAATCTCAAAAAGATCTGCCTCGCCGTGAGAACATCAAAGGGGGTTGTTTTACAATATCCACCAAAAAAATAAACAAGGTCTTAATGTGAAATGAACGGCGTTTTGCTAAACAATATCTCAGGCCAATGTTTGAAGGAAACGTTAAAAGGAAAGGCGCAATGGAGCGTGACATCCATGAACGGAGACATTTACTTTTACAAGCGGGGAGGGGGGGAGTTGCTTCTCCATGGTAATGAGCAAAACATTACCGCGCACAGATAACAACGCCACAGTTTGAAACACTACACCCGTGCTAGAAGGTGAACGTCAACATCCACACGGAATAAGCTGCCTGCCCAAAGTCACCGTCGAGTCGGCTGCTCTCACGCCTCGCCCGTGCGCGTTCGCATGCGAGCACACACTTGCTTGTGGCACCGATTCGTGAGCGTTATCGATTGCTACGGCGCAAATCTTGTCCAGATGGTTGTGGGGTTTTTCAAGGCATTTTCCAGGCAACCTATGACAATACAGTAGTCGCATTGGTGTGGCAACGCTCGAGTCGAGCCACGCGGCTCATTGACGGCAGTGCTTCTGAACATCGCCGATATGTCAAACACGGACAGCCGCTCGGAATGTCTCCAATGTTTGGTGCGCCGAAAAAACAAACAGCCAGACGCCAGCCGCAATCGGGGTTACTTGACTTGAAAACGTTTTAGAATGCCAGGTATTCAAAACACCAAACTCGGGTCTCAATTAAAGCCCTCATGGAAAATGGAATGTGCGGAACATTGCACAAGGGGCACTTGGAACAGAAACGAGACTTTGAAACGTTGGGGAGGGAGGGACCCGAGGCGAGGCAGAATGAATTCACTGTTGCATGCAGCTCCTCATTCATTGCCCAGACTTAAAACCGAGTGCAAAGGGCCAAACTCACCCCGCCGGTGGCTTTCACAAGGAGTGGCAGCCAATGGACGAAACGTAAATAGTGATGATCATGATCATGATGATCATCATCATCAGCTCGTGTGCAGGAGCGAGGTGGATTGTTACGCCACAGAACCGTGGGAGTTTGCGACGACGACTTGGGATGGCCTTCATCTAGCAGTGGATTGTTCATGGCTGATGATGATGATGATGGCTTCTGCAGATCTGGGTCCATAAAGTCCTGCCAGTGCAGTGTGATTCTGCCCCAAGCGGCACGCAGACCACAACAAACAGGTATATTATTTGCCATGCGCTGTGGCATATCACGGCTGCTTATACCGTATATCGATTTGCAGAATATCAACATAACTGAGTATTTCTCCGATTTATTGTTGCCATCCTGAAGAAGCTTTCAGTACGTGGAGTGAAACGTCGAATATCAACACGTGACAACACAATCTTAAAACAGAGCGGAGAACTACGCAGCTCGACCCAGGGCAGCAGCAGCAGCCTACGCAGTTACAATTCCATTGCACAGGCGACGTTGGCAGCTCAACGAATTCCTCTGGAGCCTGGACGCAAGTGCATGGCGCCCTCTGCTGCTCGAGGGCCACGTGTAACGCACGGAATAAGCTTTCCAAATCTTCTTGGTTCTTTCGGTAAAGTCACGTAGAAGGAAAGTAATAAAATAATAAAAAATAAAACATAATAAAATAATTCTCACGACGTTTCGGCCACAACGCAAGACAGACCTGTTCTTCACCTGAGGACGGCTGCTTGCGTTGTGGCCGAAACGTCGTGAGAATTATTTTATTATGTTTATTTTTTTATTATTTTATTACTTTCCTTCTACGTGACTTTACCGAAAGAACCAAGAAGATGAATCCCTGCAGTCACGAAAGCTTTAAATCGAAAGCTTTCCAAATGTTTTCATTCGCCGCCACGTCAATGCCATTCGCGAGTTATGTTGGTCGAATTTTGATTTGAAGCTTTCGTGACTGCAGGAATTCATACTATTTGGTTCTTTCGGTAAAGTCACGTAACTTTACCGAAATAACCAAAGAGTAGGAATGCATATTCTTTAAGTCTTTCGGTAAAGCCACGTAGATATAAAAATAATAACAAAATCACGACGTTTCGATCGCAACACAAGCAATCGTCATCAGATTAAAAAAATATAGCGGGGGAGAGCTGCTGAGGCAGGAAAAAATAAAGGTTGGTCGCTTTCATATGCCCAGGAGCGCACTCTGGTGTTATTTTGCACCACAAATGATTCCAACTGAGATGCACATCGTAAACGAATACCCGACAGCCAATAACTTCCACACTTGAATTTCATCAAGGCAGCAAATGGATCCTGTGGCATTTCCCTGCTCGCAAACACCACCGTGATGCGTATTGCGGCACAGACCGCCACCAAATAGTTTTTTTCTTCTTGGTTCTTTCGGTAAAGTCACGTAGAAGGGAAGTAATAAAATAATAAAAATAAAACATAATAAAATTATTCTCACGACGTTTCGGCCACAACGCAAGCAGCCGTCCTCAGGTGAAGACCAGGTCTGTCAAGGAGACAGCGTCTGAATGAAAAACACCACGCTTGGAGCGTATATTTAAGCTGGGTTGTGGTGTTGTTTCATTCAGACGCTGTCGCCTCGACAGACCTGGTTTCACCTGAGGACGGCTGCTTGCGTTGTGGCCGAAACGTCGTTAGAATTATTTTATTATGTTTTATTTTGATTATTTTATTACTTCCCTTCTACGTGACTTTACCGAAAGAACCAAGAAGATGAATCCCTGCAGTCACGAAAGCTTTAAATCGAAATTGTGTTTTGTTCCATATTCCCGTCAAGGCCCTCCTCGCCTCTGTCCCAACGCCACCAACTCCTCCACCTCCATTACGCAAGGTCATAAGTTACGTCTCACCAAAATTACGTGTCCTTTTCCTATTACTCATTTACAGTCGTATCGACTAAGCCGTGCCCGAGCCTGTGTCGCGTGAACGATTCAGACGAATTCCACCAGAGCTGGCGTCCATAACGCATTCCTGAGATGTCCCTCAACACGAGGGGAACGCAGAGAGAGCAGCGACGCATTGCGTGCATAGGTGGACCCACGGTCTGTCCCGTGGCACCACGGGACCATTGCCCTCACCACACCTGGTAAACCTTGGTGGGGGGGGGGCGGAAACGAGAATAGAATTGATTCAATCACAACCCTTTGTCGTGTGTATGTTTGAACCTATTTCGCACCGTAGGTAACCTACAGTGCGAATCGAAGGTGCACTGCTCGATGAATATTTCCCAGTCTATAAATGGCACAGGAGCGGTTCAGGATCACTCGCCAATGATGTTAGCCGCGAATGGGATTCTAACTCGGGTAACCTCCCAGTAAATAAGGAAGATTTGGTCAACGCTGGCCTAACGGTTTGAACCACATGCCAACGTTTGCCCAACGTCGCATGTTTAGTGGGATATTGGAGGGTTAAACCTTTTTTGGGTATTCATCTTCTTGGTTCTTTCGGTAAAGTCACGTAGAAGGGAAATAATAAAATAATAAAAATAAACGTAATAAAAAATTATCACGACGTTTCGGCCACAACGCAAGCAGCCGTCCTCAGGTGAAGAACAGACATCATTCAGACGCTGTCTTCCCGAAAGTACTGTTCTTCACCTGAGGACGGCTGCTTGCGTTGTGGCCAATACGTCGTGAGAATTATTTTATTATGTTTTATTTTTATTATTTTATTATTTCCCTTCTACGTGACTTTACCGAAAGAACCAAGAAGATGAATCCCTGCAGTCACGAAAGCTTTAAATCGAAACTTTTTTGGGTACTTTTTATGAGCAACTCCGGTTTGGCAGCGGAGGTCTCACTCCGAATGAGTCGAGCGGCATTATCTTTTCATCAGCTGCGGAACGCCCACTGAGCTGTATAGCTCTTTTTTAGAATCGACCTGGCCACAAATGATAGCTCAACGAATTGGCTTATCACGTGTAAGTCCGGGCTCCCTGTCTTGGTGCCATTCTTCGCTCGGCGAGCGCGTACTCCACGAGCTTCCACGCTGTACGCGCCCTCGGTGGCCACGCGAAGTTCCTCGTAGACCTCGGCCGGGCTCAGGCAGTGGGACATTCATCACAACAATACGCGACACTCATTGTTATTGTGTGGGTCGTCACGAAAAACCCCAACCAACGCTGCACAGAGACCTTGCCCTGCCCGGAACCCGTTCATCAAGGCCCAATGACGGCGTGGCAGGGAAAAGCCAGGGCGAGGGGGAAGGAGGGGGAGTACAGACTGTGGTGTCTGATGAGGGACTGACTTGGTGCTCATTTTGCCCTCAATTCCAGCCAAGCCCCCCCGGCGCTCTCCGCCACGGGGCCCCGGGCGAGCCCCGGCCACGTGCAGCGCCTCGCGCTCCCCGCCACGTGGCGCTCGCGGGCGGGTGACGTCACGCGGTCAGGGGTCACTTCGGGGGGCGGGCGAGCCAGACTCGGCGTACACGTGCAGAGACACAGAGGGCCTTGCCCCACCGACTCTCTCGCTCGCCGCCTCTTCCTCCCCGTGTCTCTCTATCTCTCGCCTGCCCAGAGAAGCCATGTCCGACGCCGCCGCCGCGAGGTGAGTGAGCGAGAGGACGAGGGGCAGCGAAGGCTTCCTGCCCTGGGTTCGCCCAGTTTATCCGGGGGCCTCCCGGCCTCGGGAAGGGGACAACGCCGGGTCTGGTTCGTACTCGCCATAGACCGCGGTGCTGGTGGTGCTGGTGGTGGTGCTGGTGGTGGGTTTGTCTCGTGCTCGGTGCGAGATCTTGGGGCAGTAGCTGGGGGTCAGTGAGCGGTGGTGATGGCGGTCAGGGTTGCGGTGCAGCGTTGACAGCTGTTCTCATTGTCAGTGAATTTCAGCTGATTTCATCATCGCGGCGCTGTCGTGGCTGTACGGGGCAGGTGTGTGTGTGTGTGTGCTAGGTGTGTGTGTGTGCTAGGTGTGTGTGTGTGCTAGGTGTGTGTGTGCTAGGTGTGTGTGTGCTAGGTGTGTGTGTGCTAGGTGTGTGTGTGCTAGGTGTGTGTGTGCTAGGTGTGTGTGTGCTAGGTGTGTGTGTGCTAGGTGTGTGTGTGCTAGGTGTGTGTGTGCTAGGTGTGTGTGTGCTAGGTGTGTGTGTGCTAGGTGTGTGTGTGCTAGGTGTGTGTGCTAGGTGTGTGTGTGCTAGGTGTGTGTGTGCTAGGTGTGTGTGTGCTAGGTGTGTGTGCTAGGTGTGTGTGCTAGGTGAGTGTGTGTACGTGCTAGATGTGTGTACGTGCTAGGTGTGTGTGTGTGTGCTAGGTGTGTGTGCTAGGTGTGTGTGCTAGGTGTGTGTGTGTGCTAGGTGTGTGTGTGCTAGGTGAGTGTGTGTACGTGCGCACGTATCGGTAGTCCACGATTGAGTTGTTGGTTCGCGTGTCTTGATGCATCGCTGTCAATCCCTGATCAGTGCCCTACCTGATTACAGACCAATTCAGACCTTACTGGCCACCCCGTGCCCCTTATAGATATCAACGTTCATCCTACAACGTCCCATCACAAGCGAGAAACACAAACAAATAGACACAAACATGTTTTTGCCCGTATTGAAACGGCCGTACGCCGTATGGACCTGGAAACTCCACTTCCCTGTACAAGAACAATAGGGGGGGGGGGGGGTGAACCTTGTGGGCTGAGAGCTCTGCTGCTGATGGCAGGCACCGTAGTCGAACTGACGTCCCGATAAGTAAAGGGCACCCCCCCCCCCCCCCCCGTGTGTTTGTGCTTGTCGGGTCGAAATGAAGTTAATCAATTCTGGCCAAAAGCTCACGGAACGCTACCTGATTGCAAGGCGCACCACCAACATACAAGGGGAGTGTGTGGGAATGCGTCTTCTACTCTGGATAACAGAGCCCAGTGCATGCGTGGCACGCGAACCACCACCACCACCACGACGCCTCTTCATTGCTGCGATGGCTGTGTGTGCAGCATCACCGTGGCATGTTGCGGCGCAGTAGTGGCACGTTTTGCTTTATCAGCATTTCAACTTTACTACTTTCATACGGAAACGCACTTCGAGGCGATAAGAGCACACACACCCATGTCTAGAGCTGTCAATGATGTATCTTGCTCTTTACAATTCACAATTGCCCTGTGTCAGAGTCCAACCGGTGCGGTTTTGAGTGCGGGTTTCATTCTGCTGGAACGCAGCCTGTTCGCTCACAGCTGTCGGCTGTCCTTCAACAACCATCTTGCTGACCTCCTTACGTCAGCTGGAGAGGAGCGGCTTTTATTAAGTCCTACTCATCAAAATGCTTCCCAGTATCATTCCTGTGTACCATATTTATAAATCTGAGCATCACCGTCAGTGACAGTAAACGTATTGTCATTAAACACAATTAAGGTGTGTTGTATCTGTAGACTGACTAACTATGTATGCAGGCTGGCAATCTGTAGTTGGCACTCCTTGAGGAGGGACTTGGTTTTGTTGCAGTGAGGAAGGGCAGGTCACCTCCAAGAAGGGTCTGAAGAAGCAGCAGAAGGAAGCTGAGAAGGCGGCAAAGAAAGCTGAGAAGCAGGCTCAGGCGGTGAGCGTGAGAATCCACGCACGCTTTGTGGGCCCACATTGTCTGGCGTTATGGCTCAACAAAGGTTTTACCCCACCGCGTAATAATACGGCTTTCGTAGACATGTGCTACGTGATGTTTGTGCACGCGTTGCATCTCACCGGGCCACTTAAATGTTATACATTGTTTTGCAGGCTGCAGGGCAACAAGGAAGTGAGGAAGAGGTAAGTGTGGGAAAACAGACATTTAACACAAATATCTTTCACAAACCAACAGTTTTTATTGCCGAACAAATGTTAGTATTTTAATGCGCATCGTTTTGGTTTGGCTTTGGTCTTCATAGGACTATGCTAAGGATCGCTATGGAGTCCCGCCCATGATTCAATCACAAGAAAGAGTGGGTAAGCAAGTGTGATGATCAGTTCAGTATTATGCACTTCCAATGTTGTGCTTGATGTTATTTAGGTTACATTAGTGGGAATGATGCACCCTTCATTATTTTTCTGCTTGCATTTCATAGTTCTCATGTCAGTGCTTAAATTGAAGAGAAATTACGGCCAATGCTATAAGCACGTTCATATAAAGTGTGTCTGAATAGATGGAATTAGCAGTGATGTAAATTTATTCAACATTCAGATCGCGTGCTGGTGCGTGTGGAGGAGTTGGCTGTGAAAAATGCGGATCAGAAGTTGTGGGTTCGAGCCCGTGTTCACACCAGCAGGAGCAAAGGTAAGTTCGAATTTCAATTGAATAAAACTTATCGCGTGTTAATGTCATTCATTTTAAGAAGCAGAAAAACACCCCAAACTGGTAGCAAACGTATCTGCACGGCAAGTCAATGTGGCGAGTGAACAAATAGTTGAAATGTGCTGCGTATTGCGGCGCCGCGTGTGGTCCCGCAGGCAAGCAGTGCTTCCTGGTGCTTCGCCAGCAACAGTTCAACGTGCAGGGCATCGTTGCCGTTGGCCAGAACGTCAGCAAGCAGATGGTGAAGTTTGCTGCAAGGTACCGGTCACATCTACACCAGTGCTTCCCTAACCTATGGCCTGCAGACAGCTAGTGGCCTGCAAAGCTGTGGGAAGTGGTCCACAGAACAGTTGCAGATTTGACAGTTTAGAGTTTTAATTTATAATACGTTACTGGTGCAGTGTGGTCTGCGTAAAAGTTTTGAGGGTTGACGGTGACCTGTGGGTCCAGAAATGTTGGGAACCACTGCTGTACACCTAGTCCGGTCAGAGTGATTTCCTATGCAAATAAGCATTTAGGTGATGCTCTCATCTCCTGCTCACAGCCCTGAGCGTTTGGTGGATACTCATCCCTGTGACGAGGGTGAGCCTATCCATAGTACAACCACTGTTGAACTCCCCACAAAGTGATACTCATATTATTGACCGCAGAGGAATGGTGGGCTTGGTCAGCCGTCAACCAGGAATTTAAATTGCAACTTTCCAATTGCGAGCAGCTCACTGCCACTGAGCCACTTTTCACCAACAATTTCTTGGAAATCACGTAATGTATTTAGATTTTTTTTTTACGCCTCCAAATTGAACTCTACAAAGTATACATTTACAAGACTGAAATCTGTAAACGTTTAAAGCAGGATGTTGTCATCATCCTATCATCAATGAAGACCTTCCCAATGCTGTTAGATGCCGCATTACATCTCACTTCTGGCCATGAGCTGATCTCAGAGCTCCCACTCCAGGTAGTTGTACTCTTGGGTGGACCTTGATGACCAAAGATCAGGTGTTGGTATAAGATCATGACCATGGTTTTCTGTTTTCCTCTTTCAGTATAAACAAGGAGAGCATTGTGGATGTTGAGGGCTTTGTGAGGAAGGTCGACCAGAAGATTGAGAGCTGCACCCAGCAGGATGTAGAGCTGCACATAGAGCAGGTATCATCACATTTAACTGCACGGGTCAGTCGCAGAGAGCTTGAAAACGAACCAAAGTTAATATTAATTCTGTACGTTCTCTGCAGATTTTCGTTGTCAGCATGTCGGATCCAAAGCTGCCGCTGCAGCTGGATGATGCCACCAGGCCAGAGAATGACAAAGAGGAGGTATAAACATAAACGGTGCCCAACAAGCCACGTGTTCCAATACTTTTACGTTATTGCTGACGCTGGTTGTGATTGTAATTATAATACAACACTTGTCATTTATTCAATATTTCACTAGGATGGAAGAGCAACTGTGAACCAGGACACAAGGCTGGACAACAGAATTTTAGACTTGAGGGTAATTACAAAACTTCACCACTTGACCATATTTTCACAATATATAGATGCACATTAATTTTTAGTTTTTTTAATAACATTGCTTTTGCGTTTCTATTAGACGACCACAAGCCAGGCTATTTTCCGACTGCAAGCCGGAGTCTGCCATCTCTTCCGGGAGACCCTCATCAATAAGGGTTTTGTTGAGATTCAAACCCCGAAGATTATTTCAGGTACATTTATTTGCGTTAGATAACAGTATGAACATTGGACAATAATTTACCTTTCCCACAAATGTGCTGCTTCAAATACACGTTCGTATCTTAGTTTAAGCCATTCCAATTGTTTGTCTTCCAGCTGCCAGCGAAGGTGGTGCCAATGTGTTCACCGTCACCTATTTCAAAACGAACGCATATTTGGCTCAGTCGCCGCAGCTTTACAAACAAATGTGCATCTCCGGTGATTTCGAGAAGGTGTTCTGCATCGGTCCTGGTGAGTCTTCACTCGGCAAGCCTTTGTGAACCCATAACCGGTTGATTATTATTGTGAGAATTTTTTGTTGACAATGTATGGTAATTAAAACATACTACAGCATTTTTTATGTATGTAAACTACATTATGCGTAACTCATTGCAGAAAATATTGCATATGGACATCTATAAATATTTGACGGTCATTTTATGTTGCATCTGTGTAGCGAAATAGAATAACGTAGAACTGTATGCCAACGGATGTGTTTATTTTTCATAGTTTTCCGTGCCGAAGACTCCAACACTCACCGCCACCTGACTGAGTTTGTGGGGCTGGATATTGAAATGGCCTTTAACTACCACTACCACGAGGTGGTAGAGTCCATTGGTGACACCTTGGTGCAGATATTCAAGGGTCTGCAAACAAGGTACAGAAGGACTTTGACACCATCAGAGTCCAGATGCAGTGGGGTTTCAAAGTTTATCTTTTGTGCCGATTGCTTTGCATTTGTTTTATGCCAGTGAAGTCGTCACTGCAACAGATGTGGTGGAGGGTTACGACACTTTTTTAAATAACGCGATCTAACCCAAAAACCTTTATTATGAACAGATGTTTTGTTTAATATGTGGATTATATCTTGTTGTAATGCATTGAATGCAATTATTCCCCATTGATAGAACACGTGGAGTTGCACTTTTGCATCACGATGGATCATATCGCAGTGCGTTCTCTTAACCGTTAGGTACCAGACGGAGATCCAGACTGTTGGACGCCAGTATCCAGCTGAGCCATTCAAGTTCCTGGAGCCATCTCTGCGTTTGGAGTTCCCCGAGGCGTTGGCCATGCTCCGGGAGGCGGGTGTGGAAATGGGAGATGAAGAGGACCTCAGGTAAGTCTTGATGCACACAAACTACCACAACGTATTCCAAAGTGATTTTTTAGATCATTAAATGCCATATGTCTCTTAATGTCTTTGGCAGTACGCCGAACGAAAAACTCTTGGGACGACTGGTTAAACAAAAGGTAAGAAAATGTTATACAAAAAACCGAATCCGAAATAAAAATCACTTGCGCTATTTGAAAATAATATATGCATGTATAAATGTAGTATCAATCTACAACTGTTATTTTGCTGCTACTGTTCTTGACTTATGTACATTATTTTTCCAGTATGACACAGACTTCTTCATTCTGGACAAGTACCCGCTGGCTGTTAGGCCGTTCTACACCATGCCTGATCATCGTGACCCCGTAAGTTGCATTTTCAATCTCGACAACTTTTTTTATATGACGTACACGGGGACACAACAGGTCAGGTTTTCGAACGGCAAGTGTTGTTTCTCCTTTCAGAAAACTTCAAACTCGTATGACATGTTCATGCGTGGGGAGGAGATCCTATCTGGAGCTCAGCGAGTCCACGACCCGGAGCTTCTGACGGAGAGGGCCCGTCACCACGGCATAGGCACGTCCAGCACATCCAGAGTGCCGGGAACAGGTTTAACGTGCTCGTTGCCGGGCACGTGACTATCGCCGCTCTGTAAAGCGTTGTTTTTCTCAAACGGGTCCAAAAACAAGAAACGAATGCATGAGTTTCACTATCACTAATATGGAAATTCAAAAAGCACTATCAACAGAAATGTATGTGTAACATTATACCATTCCAATACGTTTATTCTGAAAAATGTTTGCAGTGCTCATTCACATGATCGAACAATTGTGAGGGAAGCCTGATTAAATTTTTTAACATTCGTAGAAGGAAATAACATTCCTAAGTGGTCATTGAAAGATTGGTAGTCACGTTTACAAAGCATGGATTGTTGTATTATGAATGGTTAACTCCTGATTGTAATTATATGGTGCCCATGTCCTTTGTCCACCGATTCAGACCTGGAGAAAATTAAATCCTACATTGACTCCTTCCGCTACGGCGCTCCCCCCCATGCTGGAGGAGGCATAGGTAACTCCGTTGTGTGGCTGCGGTTTCACGATTGTGCTGTTTTGCACTCTGGCGCGATTTTAGGTTGTACCGCTTTTTGTTCGGCATGATGTCCGACGTTTTGCTGCACGTGCAGGGAGCCTCTAGTTCTTGAAGCTCCCAGATCGTGGAGCAAAACAAACACGGCACAACCCAGAACACATCAGAGTGATGATAAAGTTGTAATTACCTTTTTTTGCTTTGTGTTTAATCACGTAAGTCTCCAGCGCAGCTGTTTTGGTCGGTGATTAAACACTCGCATGTGATCCTTGTCTCACAGGTCTCGAGCGGGTCACCATGCTCTACCTGGGCCTACATAACGTTCGCCAGACCTCCATGTTCCCACGTGACCCCAAGCGCCTGACTCCCTAACTGCAGCCGCCCACCGAGAGGAATGCAGTGAAGCCACCAAGCCTTAAGCGGGGTTACAGCTTTGACGCTTTGTTTTTGACGTGCATGGAATACCTGCGGAATGTTTAGAAAGCATTCGCTGGATTTTGATCTTAGTGCTCCCCCATCAGGGCTATTTGCTTGTTACCTTGATTAATGGATTTTCCATGTCATTCTTCACAGACTTTGTACTGGCAATTTTTTTGCAAAATGGTAATTGTTAAATATGCAGTTTTCCAAAAATAGTAACAAAAGGGATTTATTGGTCAAAATGATATAAATAATCTGTGTGGATAACGAATCAAGACCTAATGTTAGCATTAACACGTGCTGAATGAATCAGCTTCATGTGAATGAAGGTGTAGTACACGCTGCTGTCGAGAATAATTTTCCCTGATAATACAATACAATTATGTCCTTGTATTAACCACAAACATGAAAATATTGTTTACTTATTCCTTCAATTGTGAACAAATTTTCAAAAAGTACAAAACCAACGAAAACTAGTAATGAGCAATGTAATTTTTGATAACTGCACATTAAAATTGTTGCCGTGAATTGTGTGCGCGTGCAGTACGTTGCCTCTTCCCGTGTATTTGTATTGGGGCACCGTCAAGAGCCATTCTCGAACATCAAACATGGGAGCGATGCCCATATTGGGATGAGACTACAAGCATTGCTGACGGGTTCTCCTGTGCAAGGGCTTAAAACTCAACTTGGGTGTCAAATTGCAAGTATTCCTTATGGCAGTACCCCGCGGTACCAAATAATACAAAATGGCCGAAGCAATTAAATATTTTATTTCTGGGACACTATTTTTTCCAGGTGTGTACTTAACTCCGCGACTGGGGTACCAATCAATCCGAAATCAGTGCTACTGCGCGATGTCGAAAACGCAGCGAGGACGATTGTGCCGAAACCCTGAACGCTCGTACGCACCGTAGTGGTGCATCGTGTACAGCTCGTCGAGATGAGTCGATTGCCGCATCGCCGACCATCAGACAAAATGACCGCATCGCGGGCATTATGCGAGAGCCGGGGTACTATGGTACCCTGGGGTACTGCCATAAGGTTCAATTGTGTAAACTACACATTTCCAGATGGGGTACAAATGATGTAGGTATGAACAGCATATATCAAACGAGATTGTTTGAATGAGCTAAAGTCTCTTAACCTTCATTAATGTACTGTAATTTGTAAATAAAACATCTCCACTTATCAGTGGTCTATTACAGGAATTGGCTTTTTACCAAACACATAAATGAATGTTAATCATCTGACTTGGAAACCATTCACTTCCCAAAATGTAAGTGTAGATAAAACTAGACAATTGTCGGTTTATATTGCACAATTAGCATTTATTGTATCTGCTTTTATATGGCAACACAATCATGGTAATGGATATGTACACATGGCAAATACTAAAGAGCAAAAAAAATATTATCCCAACTTAAAGCTTTCGTGACTGCAGGAATTCATATTCTTTGGGTCTTCATATTCTTTGGGTCTTTCGGTGAAGTCACGTAGATATGTTAAAAGAAAATAACAAAACACGACCACTTGTGTTGTGATCGAAACGTCATAGTTTTTTGTTATTTTCTTTGAACCTATACACGTGACTTTACCGAAAGACCCAAATAGTATATATTATCCCAGTTTTAACTGCCAACATGTAATGTTAATGATTTAAACATAAGTATGATATAACAAAGAAATGTACTGAAACAGTAACATGCATTAAATTTCTTTCAAATGCTATGCGATATGACAAGGGGAAATATAGGCAGGTACAGAAAATGATGATTTTAAGCATGGGAGCAGCTTTGTATGAAACTAAAGTGATTGGGGTACAGATATTATCGAAAGATATTTTAGTGGACATCTTAAAAATTAGTCGTCACTGTCACTTCCAGATTCGCTCAGCTGCAAGTCACTTCCTGTAGAAAACAAAAACACATGTTACTGAGAAATGAATCATTACAAATCAATATGCAAAATTACACGTTATTTAACTGTATTTGACCTGGTCTATACAGTATTCACGAACAAGTCATTGCGGTCAGCTCGTTACAAGAAAACTACCATTTTGCAAGCATGTACATAAGAGTAATTGTGAATTCGTTGAGTGTAAAGTGTGGCGTGTGACTACTTACTCAGTGTGCTCATGTATCCCCGGTGCTCCGAAGGCGGCTGTGCACGGGTGGTGCCGTTCGGTAAGTTTGCTGCGATGGGTGGAGCTGGGATCTGTGGCTGCAGCGGCGTGGGCTGAGGCTGAGCGAGGGGCTGAGTCGGGGCAGGGGAGAGCGGCACGCGGCTCTCCAATTCCTCATTGGAGCTCTCGCTGCCACTGCTTGAGCTGTCCGAGTCCGAGGAGCTGGCATTGCTCATTTCAATGGCACGGGCCTCGGCCAGAAGCTCTGTTTCAGCACAAGAACATGAACATTGTTTCAGGCACAATGAAACAGCTAATTGTTTGAAAACCTGTCTTTACAGATACAGCAAAATGTTCAACCATCAAACTTGTAGTATTATTTTAGAGTTCTGATGTCACTTGCCTTTCTCGATGTCGTGCAGTGGTTCAGGAGACTGTTTTTCTTTTCCAGGTGAAGTTTTACTGCCCGTTGTTGCTCGACTTGCGCTCTTTGTCTGCCCGCTTGGCTGTCCTGCACGCCCACTCTGTTGTTGCTGCTGCTGCTGCTCCATTCGGCTCTGAATCTTGCTGCTGCCTTCAAACCTAAATATGAATACAACTTCATATTAATCGTATCTAAATGTAGCAGCATTGAGATGCGTTACAGACGTGGGACACATTTGTGTCAAACAGTGAAAGGACAAGATTACTATATGAATAAATATGTATCATTGCAGTCAATCCTTGAATAGGGGGGGGGAAGGTTAGGATTGGAGTGATGTACATACATTACTTTGTGGCTTTTCAAGCATTGATCACTCACCTGGTTTTCTTGACCTGGATGTTGCTGGTGAGCTTTTCCAATGTATACTCTCCCGTGTCATGGTTGATAATGAGAACACATTCCTTCATACATGGTCTCTTGGAGCCTTTAAACACGGTTGTGGGTGGAGTAGAGCCCTGATGCACCACATACCATAATCAGGAAATGGTTTCTAGAATAGTGACAATGTAAATGATGGTAAAGACATCCCACGACTGCATTAACCATTAGTTTTTTTACCATTCTGTAGTTGAATTGTAAGGCCTTTGACGTTTAGCTGAACTTAAGACAACTGGGCCACGTATGTACTATGCTGAACTTATTTCGCACCGTACGTAGCTAACTGTGCTAACCGGGAGGTGCGGGGCAAGGACAAAAAACGAAACATAAAAAACAGTTCTAGAGAAATTAGTTTTCAATTGAGATGATTTAAAAGTGCACATCTCCAGTGGCTTCCTAATATTGGAAGAGCATTCCAGACGGCCACAGAAGTGCAGAAGAAGCGTCACCCGTAGGCGTAATAATGGTAAAAAAATCTGTTCTAAAGGAATGAGTTTTCACTCGAGATCGTAAGCCCAAGCTCCCTTCCTAGTTCCTACCTCGACGTTTGGCAGGGTGATGGTGACCTGATCGCCTTTCCCCACGTCCAGAGTGCCCTCGCATGCCGTGTCGATGGAGGCTGGCTTGAAGTCGTCTATTGAACAACAGCGTGTTCAACTTATATCAAACGAGCCGCATATGAACCTTATGGCGGTACCCCGGCTCTCGCATAATGTCCGTGATGCAGTCATTATTATTATTTTTCTTTTACACGCTTTTTATTAACTCTGTCTGTTGTTGTATCCTCAAATCTTCTAAGTTTTTACCCGCTTCCTAATGTGGTATCGACTGCAAACTTGGTATACTTATGTCATACTGATGACAATTTATCATAAAAAACATTTTAAAACATTCTTTTTTATATGTTATGTTTCGGCTTGGCTCTAATAGCCCACGGTAAACTGACATTGGCTGTGAATGGCCACGGTCACTAACGTATGGCAAGCTTCGGGGCCACTTCCTGGAGTCGTGGAGTTCTTCCATTACTAGTACGGTACATTTCATTAAAGCGTGTTTTTTAAAAAAAGTTATTTTTAAATATTACTTATTTTTAGTCTGTTAATTGTCGGCGATGCGGCAATCGACTCATCTCGACAAGCTGTACACGATGCACTTTTCAAAGTAGAATTTTTCGGATTTGTTTATGCTGTTTGGCGTTTCGACTATCGCGGAGTAGCACTGATTTCGGATTGATTGGTACCCCAGTCACGGAGTTAAGTACAACCCCTGGGAAAAAAATAGCGTCCCAGAAATAAAACATTTAATTGCCTCGGCCATTTAGTATTACATTATTTGGTACACCGGGGTACCGCCATGAGGATCATGTTCAGCCCTCAATTGCAAAATACAATAAACACGTCAACATACCCATGGCCTCTCACGTAGTTCTAATACCCAAAACGACGAAAACAATGTAAATGTCTCAATCGTGTACAGTGTCTTGCTTATACATGTATTCAAACCTCCAACACCCCGCAATATTCTAAGTGCTAAACAATGTCGCAGTGGTGTTCTCCCGTGTGTGTTATATAAATACGTGGCAATTCCCTTTGGTAATTCCCCAAGTAAACCCCATTGGGGGTCGGTAACGTCCCCTGTGCCAACTTCATGGCGACGTCTTTAGATGAATCCCCGCAGTCACGAAAGCTTTACATCGAAATTCATGGCGACGACTTTAGATGAATCCCTGCAGTCACGAAAGCTTTACATCGACAGCATTCCCGCACACGGCTAACATCAGTGGCGAACACGTTCAGCCAACCCTGTACCCTGCGCTTGACCAGCGCGGTGAAGTATGGTCAAACATCCCCAACAGCGCGAGGACGCCTTCATCCAGCGGCGGACTGACAAGAGGCCTGCCAATGACGACTATAAATGTAAATTACGATAACTTCTTCATGTTCGTGTTGTTGTTGTTATGATCGAGTAGTAGTGGTGGTGGCGGTGGTTAAACTCTCACATCGGATGGCGTGGAAGCCGGCTCGCGGCCTCCGCTCAAAGCTCTCGCCCAGGCGCAGGACGTGCTCCTCGCTGTTCATGGCTCGGCCGTCGTCTGTCACGCGACAAGAGGCCGCCGATCGAGCGACTTGACGAGCGAAAACCAAAACAAAAGGAAGATCACGCGGCAGAATCCTCCTCGATACAAACTCGCGCCGCTTTACTTAATTGTTTCCAGGAGACGCCTGCGCAGGGCCGGCCTCGTGACCCCCCCGTGACCCCGAGTCCGCGTGACCGCCCCCCCACTAGCCCCCACCCCACGCGCATGCGCACTCGGCGCGCGGAAGCCGGGTCCACGTGGGCGGGACACGACGCACGTGTGCGGCCTGCGGCTCCGCGGCCGTGGAGCTTCTCTGCGAAGCAATTAACGCGCTGGTGGTGGCCAATTAGCGAGTGTCCAGCCGCTGCTTTTGCTTTGTGGTGGTGGTCGCTTTACAAGAGCCTCCTCCTGGGCGGCGCGTCTCGTCGGTCGTGGGGATGCGTTGATCGTCGCTGGCTGGTCACGTCATGCTGGGTTAGTGATACTCCTACCGACTGAGCGACTGTCGTGTTTTCGTCTGGGCCAGCAGCACACAGTGGGTGTGGGAGGTTCAATGAAGAGAAATAAACAGGTTTAGTTGACTAATCCATCGATGTAAATCCAATGTTAGAGCGAGTCAGGTTTCGTACTGTTGCAAATGATGGCCCCACATCGATGTCCTGTCTCATCAACACATGATGGGTTATTTAAGGTTTTAACTTACATGAGAGAATTGAGCAGTCGAACGCTTGCCCACACAGTCGGTCTGATCTTAATTGTTCGTCCCATGAATATGTTATCGTTCGGGTTCACGTCGAGTTGACAGTATTTTATGTTAGAAGTGAGTGTGGAATCAACCACAACTGCATTGTTCTGTACCTGCGAGGTTAGCTGTATCGCATAGAGGTGTGTAAGACACACTGCCTTAGCATGCAGGACACTCAGGGAGACCAGGACTGCTGTCCTGGTCCCACGCAAAGTTCCCCTCCAGCAGGGGCCCCGCTGTTGGTTGCTTGGACTCCTGGGGGGGGGGGAGCTGGGGGATGAGAAGTGGCAGAGGTCGCAACCGGGTACCCGATACCCGTACCCTACCCGATACCCGGCTACCCGTACCCGGCCGGGTACGGGTACCCGTTTGCGACCCTGGTGCGGCCGGGTACGGGTAGGCCGTGAGTCACTGGTGAGTAACTGTCATTTCCCAACGTCTTGTCTCTTCTCACAATTCAAGTTCCTAGAATCAACCCACCCGCGCCTGCAACATGGCTTCATCCCAGAGGTCGCAATCAGGTACCCGATACCCGTTTGCGACCCTGGTGCGGCCGGGTACGGGTAAGGAATCAAAACCCGTTTGCGACCTCTGGCCTCCGGGGAGTTGGATGTGAAAACGTGTGGGAATCTTAATTTCATGAGCTGGATGCAGAAACAAGAGTGAATATGATGTGTAAACTCGTATAGAACATATCAGAATTGGTTTAGGGTTTTGATGAGAGCTAGTCTTTCATCCGCTCAGCCTCATACCAACCGCTCATACCAACCCGCACTCACCAGCATGGTGAAGTGCCTTCGCGTATATCTTCCCCCAGTGGTGGTACAGATCGTCTCCAGGCACTTGAATTTCTGATGTCATCATCCATGATGACAGCAGCAGTGCGGCTGAAGGTGTAAGTGATGTTAAGAATAACTTGGTGAGAAGACCCCTTGATTTGACCATTACTACAAAAAACGTGCATGGAGTACGACCACCAGGGAGATGGGCGAGTCATGAAATCTGCTCGTTTGCAGGTGCGAGATCAGGGATGGGCAACCTGTGGCTCTTTAAGGACTTATTCGTGACGTTATTTATTAAGGACCGTCTCGTACTGACATGCATCGCGGCTCTTTGAATGTAGAGGGGTTTTTTACCGAATTCTAACAAAATGTATCTTGTTATTTTGGTAGCCGACCTCTGTGCTAGATGTATTCCTCCTACATCGCAGGATCGCGAGAGGACTGGAAGCAGCCTGGAGAGACCTGAATCAGTGGATTGAGCATGGCCGATGATGGTGACGACCAAAGACACTTTCTTTGCAGCTCGAGAAGCAGAGGCGGCGGCAGAAGCGGCAGCGCCCGCCCAGGCGAGGGCGTGCGGGGTTCGGCTGCTCTCCCCCGAGGAGCGGGAGAGGCTACAGCGCGACTCGGCGCTGGTGGCCGAGTTCAAGCAGACCAAGCTCGAGCAGGAGGCGCGCAGGAACTGGGACCTGTTCTACAAGCGGAACTCGACACGCTTCTTCAAGGACCGCCACTGGACGACACGCGAGTTCCAGGAGCTCAGCGCCTGCAGAGAGGTGTGGATGGGTTGATTCGTGTCCGAAAAAAAATCAATGTCTCGATTCACGTGTAGATGAAATGGCCAAAAATGCATCGCCTGAGCGACATGGACAATTTTTGGTAATGGAGTTGTCTGTGCATTAAATTTATTTTCCCTAAAAGATGAAAATTCACACTTGCCAACACGTGAATCAAGTGCTTTAGAGTTAAAAGTACTTTATGGGTACATTGTCCAGGAGGGGTGAAGACCTCATCTGAATTTTGATACTTCACAACTGGAATTCAATGTCTAGATTCACGTGTAGATGAAATGGCCGAAAATACATCGCCTTAGCGACATGGCCAATTTTTGGTAATGGAGTTGTCTGTGCATTTTTTTTTCCCCTAAAAGACGAAAATTTACACTTGCCAACATGTGAATCAAGTGCTTTAGAGCTAAAAGTACTTGATGGGGACTTTGTCCAGGAGGGATGAAGACCTCATCTGAATTTTTATACTTCACCACTGGAAGAGAGTATCCCACCCCATTTAACAAAATCTTATGCTTTTGTACTCCAGAGTGAAAACCAGAGGCTGGTGATCCTGGAGGCTGGGTGTGGAGTTGGGAACTGTCTCTTCCCACTCCTCGAAGAGGATCCCAACATCTTTGTCTACGCGTGCGATTTTTCTCCACGTGCCGTTGACTTTGTTAAGGTATGTGTAGCAGGTGTGTAGGATTACCTGGATGAATTGTCACCAAATGTGCAGTTGCTCAATGAGGTGTTCACCCAGAGTTAGCATTCATCTGCAGGATTAGTCTCCACTGATTGTTCATCTCCACCCCAATGCCCTGTAGCCCCACTTGGCAGTCTTAGCCAGGGACACGCCCAACCCCTACAGTCATCGCTATGCTGCAAGGCGATGAAAGCGTGGTGTGGAGGCCGACTGTAATGTTTTGTTATATTTTGCAGCCTTGAGTTTCTGAGCAACCTCTGCCAGCCAGTTTATGGATCCTCTTTACACCACATAGCCAGATCATTCGAGAACGCGAACAAACAATGCAGAATATTCCACGGTGCGCATTATGTATGTTGAACTTCTTTCGCACCGTACATACCCAACCGTGTTAATGGGAGGCATTACTGGATGGTAGAGCAGTTGCAGACCGGATACGGATGCAAGCAACGTAGTTTTACATCTAGAAAATTAACGAGTACGAATTTTAGATTGCTTTATTGGATAAAAAAAAAATGTTTTCTTGTCGTTGCAGAGCAACCCCTTGTACAGTAAAGAGCGCTGCTTGGCTTTCCAGTGTGACCTCACGCAGAATTCCCTCGTGGAGAATGTGCCGGAAGGGACGGTAGACGCGGTGACACTCATATTTGTCCTATCTGCTATCCACCCCGACAACATGGATGCAGCTCTGCACAATATCTACAAGGTGGGTAGGACATCAAACTGCATCTAGCACAAGAATCCATAGTTTTAGCACGATATAGCATCCTTGAAATGTTCTCGTTTCAGTCCAAATTGATGACGTTCGAGCGAAACATAGATTTGTAATAATGTAAAGGTGTGAAGCACGTTACTAAAGAGCATATCGATGTCATCATATCGGTCACACCATCACCAAACCAGTACACCTTGGTATAGGTTTTGTGGATTCACGCCATCCCGACTGCATTTTAGGCTACATGAAGAGCCACAACGAATATATGTTGAACTTATTTCGCACTGTACCAAGCCAACCGTGCTAATCGGTGGTGCGGGAATGGACAACAAACTAAACACAAAAAGCAGTTATGTTGCACCATAATGAAGAGGATGGAAAGCCGGGCAGGGCAATATCTGTACATGTGAGTGTGGAGTTTTCCCTGCACACCTGGGGATAACAGCGATCGCTCCGCTCCAGGTGCTGAAGCCAGGAGGACGCGTCCTGTTCAGGGACTACGGTCTGCACGACCACGCCATGCTGCGATTCAAGCCTGGCCACAAACTCTCGGAGAACTTCTACGTCCGTCAAGATGGAACCAGGGCATACTTCTTTTCAGATGGTATTACATTGATAGAAAAGTAAATTGTAGTCCTAAGCATCAAATATATTTATAAATGTGATAAACTATAGGTCACATGTATTTATTGATTATGCAGCATGAGTAACATGTTGTCTGATTTCGATTTAAAGAACCAAGAAGATGTTGTCTGATGTTTTATTTTTTCAACAGACGTTGTGGAAAAACTCTTCATCGGTACGGGCTACGTGGTGCTGGAGAATGAATATGTTGTGCGCAAGACTGTCAACATCAAAGAGGGCCTGAGTGTGCCCAGGATTTTCATTCAGGGGAAATTCCAAAAACCCTCAGGAGATGAACATAAACCTGCTTCGTGATTGCTCGTGATACTTCACAATAGAGTGGGGCTCCTGTGCGGTCAACTACAACTGTACGCTGCTGGACTAAAGTCTCCCTGCACCTTTGCCTTCACACAATCAAACTCTCTCCGGCACAAACTGATCTTAATGCTCCACTTCCGTGCTGCACGTCCACTTATGGATCATGAGTCGCCCTGTACACTCCAAATGCGGTGCAGAACGTGACATAGTTCATAATCACCAACATTACTACCACCACCATTCTCATCATGAACATAATCCTCATCCACAGTGGTCTACCCACATCTGGACAAAGGCCTTCCCACCCCCATCGCAATTCCTTTCAGTGCAGCGATACCGCACTTCATCTCACGCCTGCACGTGAACCCATCTTCTCGCTCCACCTCCTCAGTGGTCAACTTTGGTGTTCCCCTTTGCGTACCGAAAATGGCGTGCTAATGCACAGCACAGCTGGAGACCGAAGATGTCGTGAGGGTTGGTTAGAGATATCGCCTCTAAGATGCAAAATTGGGAGAACCCCACAAAAGGCCCAGACCAAATTTTCTCTGACGGCTGAACGAGTGCAGAGGAGACCAAACAGCCACCGTTAAACTCGACAGATTCCGGTCACTATTTCTACATATTTGTCCTTCCCCCACACCTCTGATTGGCAGGGTTGGCTAAGTCCCGTGCGAAAGAAGTTCAGCATACTACAACAGGTAAGTAAACTCAGATTAAATTATACAATTCAAATCTCGGCTGAATTTGTCTTGGACAGCGAAAGTGTCAATATAACCAGGTTATAGGGCAGGAGTCAAGGGCAAACAAAAGGGAGGATGCAATAGTTTGAGGCAATTCGACACAAGTCAAATATGCAAGAACCGAAACTAACTGTAATCAGCTGAGTACTTGGGTTATAAACAAATCAACAAGACCAGGATTTAAAGGCAACCTGGTCTGTGCTCGCGTCTTCACCCCAGCCTGAGGTGCCATATCTAGGCGAGATTCGGAGTCCATAAATCCATGCAGGCATTCGCTTCATTGCATTTGTCTGAGCAGCTCAAATTAAGTAGCCCCGACTGCCTCCTGGTAGTTGGTGGCAGTAGATCCAGAAACGCTCTGCGAGTCCTCATTGCTCTTCAGGGGCAACGTGCACTTCCTCATGGCTCATTCCTACTGCTCGTGGTGGCCCGTTCGTAATGCTGGGGCATGCGCCTCGCCATTCGTTCATGTTGAGATAATGTGGGCGATGCTCCACAATTGTTTTCCACCGTAATTTGTATTTCAGATATGGGTATCGCTGGTGGAGCATTTAATGATCTTCCCTAGTTGCCCTGAATTAGTGCTGGTCCTTCAATTGCTGACATCTGTACGGCCATAGGACAGGCAGGGCACTAACTACGCACAAAGCAGATCATGCTCAAGCTAATTGGGACACTGCCCAGCCACAGTGCACATCAATATTACCATCATATCATCAAACTCCACCATCGTCACTACCACCAACATCGATAATGCATTGTAAGACTCTCAAACGCGGTGGCAGGAGAAATTTTCCGCCACTTTCATGCGACTCCTGTTAACTGCAAAATCGCCGTGGATAATGAGTTTCCGTTAACAGATTGCAGCGGCGGCTAAGTTACAGGCCATAGGTTTGTGGATAAGAATAGCTATTTTATTTAACATTATTTTTATAATAATTTTTGCAATGCTGTTCATTATAAAATACATGGTTTTACCATGAAGCACACTCGAGAATGGATATGTTAAGTACTGTATTGTTACTCGTTCTAAAGTCTTGTTTGCACAATGTTAATTGGGAGATGTCACGGAAATGCTTTGAATCATGCAAGGAGAAAATGGCGTAAATGTATACGTTCAGCTAAGATGAGAACATTGCCTGATTACAGCAAGAGATGTCTGCTACGTAGTAGCTCGGTGATACAATTACAAGGACAACACGAGAAATACTAACCGTAAACTTTAATTGAAATGACTGAATGCTCCTATGAAGCATATCATTTGTACAGAATACTATTCAGGATTTAAGCTGCAAGAATATTTCAAGATGTAACAAACATTTTTTACACTGTTTAGGCATGCAGCAACGCAAAATATATAAACAAAAATTCCTATGTTCAAAATATTCCTTCTGTTCCTTAGCTACTATCGAAAAGCTTCTCAATGTAGATGTATAGCAAGATGTATTTTTTCAATAAAACAGATGAAACAATTTCTGAGCATTTCTGATGTAATCACTATTTATAAAGGCCCATAACCTCTCTACTTAGCTCTTTACAAGACTCTTCATTTGCCATTAATGTAAATTATATTACCAGCCAACAAAATATAAAGCTTGTAACGACGTAGTTGCTTGACAAAAATCTAGCTCACAATGGAATGAACACAAGGTAAAAAATGCTCTTCATACTTCCGAGTGGTAAGGAAAACTCACACGTATGCCTTCCGTATGCATTTCAACGTCTCGCCAAACTCACTCAATTTATTACCAAGCTTTCCTGTCGCAGCATTCCTCATTTTACAAATGTACTCCTAATTTCATCCTCATGAATATCACTGGAATTCGCCCACACTAAGGCTTGCTTTCTTCACCTTTACCGGCATTGTCCTGCGACTGATCGGTGGGCTTTGTGAGACCACGGATCGTCAGGTCGTACACCACCTCCTCCACCTTCTTCACGTCGTACTTGAGGCCATCGTAGCGCTTGCGCAGAGAGTCGTTCTTCAGGTTGAGCGAACGGAAGCCAGCGTCCAGCTCGTGCACAAACGCCGCCACTCGAATGGGCCGCCCATAATCCCCGGCTGTCACGCTGTTTACTGCCAGGCGTGCCTGCGGTAATAACAACGATCAACAATATTCCGTGTAAAACTGCAATGCATGGCAGATTGCTACAACGACGCATGTACCACTAGCCCATAATATAATTGGACAGGTAAATCGGTGTTAAATGTGAATGAATGTATATTGCTGAAATCAACTTTAATCAGAAAATGTAGGGTGAAAAAAAAACATACATTACTGTCAATTACTCTCATAAGGATTTGCTAATTTTGTAGTACAGTATTGGGATTGAAAACCATTCCAAAGTTCCAAGGAGGCTCCTTACCAATTCACTGGCCATCATCAGCAGCCCAGTGAGGTAATCATCCAGGTCCAGATGGAAGCCTTTCTCCTGCTGCACCTCAACTGCACACATGAAAGCAGTCACTTAACAATCTGTGCAAATTCAACGTTTACTCAGAATAAACAAACACAGATTAAAATGTCCTGCAAACCTGGTCCCGTGTGACAATTTACAACACCAATCACCACAGCTTTCAAATTAATCAAGAGATCCCATTCTTTACACCTAGGCTACACAACAGGTGATGTAAAATAGACGCATCATAAATATTAATTTCATCGTGACTTCTATAGCAATCTAAACTATGTAAAGCAATGTCTCCCGTTTCAAATTCAGGTTTAATTTGTTTAGCCAGCAAACACCAAGAAAACAGGGGAGTCTCATTGCAACACCGGACCTGCAGTCACCAACAATTACAAAACAATGTACAGCAATATAGCAAAGTAATTAGAACAAAAAGCTAATGCGTCAAATGAGGAATCATAAATATTGCACATCGTCAATGTGAACTCAGAACTACATATTCCCTGCAGCGCAAATCAGCTCGGAACACATTACCTACAGAGTGATAATGGATAAACTACGCTACAGACACATTCATAATTAAACAGATATAGGTTGACTAGAGTACGAACCTGACTTTATTCCCATCACACATCGCAGTTATGGCACTAGCTTTTAACAAGCAAGCCGGTCGTTTAAATATGCCCATGTGATAAAGCAAAAGATATCACTGTACTCACTTCCAAGGATTTTGGCAGCTTCCTCCCGCGAGATCAGGCTCTCGGCTTCCAGGTACACAAGCAGGGCGGCTAGATAGCTGAGGCGCTGCAGCACAAACCGCCAGTGGTCATGAAATCTACACAGGAGCAGCAATTCCAAGCAGTGTCAACAGTGAGCACAAACCACAGATGCCTGCATCCTTCAGGGGTTCCTGCACCTCGGACAAAACAAAGAGAACAAGTTTAAAGTCCCAACATGCATAGATACTCTTAAATGTGTCTGCAATGTGATCTCTTAAAAACAAAATATAACGGGCATAATGTTCACCAGTGTATTAACACAATTGATGTTCAAAGCTTGTACGATTCAGGCTATTGCCAAACATTGCCTTTTAACTTGAAAATATGCAAATTTATATTTAAAGCTTTCGTGACTGCAGGGATTCATCGTCTTGGTTCTTTCGGTAGTCACGTAGAAGGAAAATAATAAAATAATTAAAATATAACATAATAAAATTATTCTCACGACGTTTCGGCCAAAACGCAAGTACCCGTCTTCAGGTGAAGAACAGGTCTGTCAAGTAGACAGAGTGTCTAGACAGAGTCTGTCTACTTGACAGACCTGTTCTCCACCTGAAGACGGCTGCTTGCGTTGTGGCCGAAACGTCGTGAGAATTATTTTATTATGTTTTATTATTTTATTATTTTATTATTTTCCTTCTACGTGACTTTACCGAAAGAACCAAAACGATGAATATGCAAATTATTACCTCTGTCACCCTCCTTCAGACATTAACTACACCGAATGTAAATCTAAAATGCAAAGCACAGGTTATGAATGTCTATATTGAAGGAAATACCAGATGGAAAGCCGTCATATTTATTAAAACAGCTGTCAAAATAATTCTCAAGTAGTTTCTCCTCACCTATAGTAATACTCGGGAGGGAACTTGGTCTTGAGTACAGCAAAGTGAACTTTAACTTCTTCGAAGCGCTCTCTTGCCTTCTGACAGATAGTTGGCACTGCACAAAGACACAAAGTTAGTCACAAGTTCGCTTCCCTGGCGCCTCTAGTTGTGCACCGTGCGTGATGTTTAGTGTAATCAGTTTTGAATCACTATACATTACTGGATTGTGAAATGTCCTCACCGGTATTAACATCTGGATCTGTTATATTAGGCTACAAGTTAATTTAAACATTTACATTTTTGACCAGACAAGAGCCTTTTTGATTAAAACTCAAAAGGCCACTTTTATAGTCTGATGTGCGTAAAAACCATGATTATTTTGTTTATATATGGTAAGTATGGATGAGTTCCTACATCAAGTGCGCATACATGTTCTGTATTAATACGATTCCATTGTTCGTATGCTCGTTTACCTAGGAAGGCCACGCCGAGTCCCATGACTCTAACCTTCACAATCATAAATCCATTCATGAATTGCTCATTTCGTTCATTCAAATATTGACTCATTCATTTTTCTCATTCATACATTACTCCATTTTAATTAAAACATTTACGTGTGAATCCATCAAATTCGACATCCATGTCAAAGCTGATTATTAGATAGATATCTGTTCTCAGTTGTGCCGCATAGATCTTCATGACTGGGCGTTCTGGTTTGTACGCAGTCTTGTTCGGCATCATGTCCGACGTTTCGCACCACGTGGTGCTGGGAGCTTTTTAAATCCTTTATATTAAGTTCACTTGCTTGCTTGCGCGCTTACGACCGTGCAAATCTTTCGGTCGTTTATTTAACCCACTTCCCGTGATCCAATCGAGCTGACATTTTGCACACAGACTCGTTGTGCGTGATAATTTATTTTCGTGAAAAATGTTTTAAAAAATGTTCCACTTTTTAGGAAAAAAAAATTCATATTTAATTTAAAATACCAATGTGATAAAAATGAAACTCTTACTCAAGAAAAACAGAAATGAATAATAAAATAAAACCGATGCCACGCATATAAAGGATTTATAGTGAAAAACTTTGTTTTTACGGGTTAATTTTTTCACGAAATTCACTCCGTTTTTTTTTACGAAGCTCCCACCCAGCACGTGGAACGGAGGATCATGCTCGACGTTTGGCTCCACATGAGAGCGCGAGAAATCTCTGATGCGGAAGCCGTGTCCCGTGGCTGTCCCCACGCACCGGGCTGCAGGCCCTGGTGCACGCCCTGCAGCAGCGTCAGCGTCTCCCGCGCCGTCTGCTCCAGCGCCTGCACCGTCTCCCGGATCTCCTGCGGGACAAGCTCATCATCAGCCGCCGGCATCATCAGCCGTGGTCAATACACTCATGGATGAAGACGCTGTCACAATCCTGCTAGATGTAATAATCCGCACCTAGCACATTGACATTAAGCGATTTCATTGATGCATCTCCTCTGTGGATGTCTTCTTGGAAGCGTTCCATTCATCATCAGTAGGTGAAGGTGCAGCGCTGCAATTGCTTGACTACGCCTCTGCTTGCGGCATGGCCTCCTCCAGAAGGAGCGGCCACTCAAGGGAGCTACAGAGAGTCGCTTTAAGGGTAATTGGCCTACTCTTCAATGGTGACCAGTACACATGGAAGATGTCGCAATACCCACACCTCACCCCACCACACAATCTGCAGACCGACTGTGGTATTGTACCCGCTAATACCGCCGGATAAACGTGCCCGTTTTGATTTAAAGCTTTCGTGACTGCAGGGATTCATATTCTAGATTCTTTAGGTAAAGTCACGTAGAAGGGATATAATAAAATAATGCAAACATTAAACAATCAAAATTCTAACGTTTCGACTGCAACACAAGCAATCATCATCAGGTGTGAAATCCACAGCCAATTGTTTCAGCTGCCGCTCTGGGAGCTCGAACCCGCAACCTCTGGAGCTCATCGTGCGAACCATCACACGACGGTAGCCCTCCCCTCACCACCACTCAATGAGAACATAAGTCCAACACAATAGCTGCCATAGTGCCTTGTCAATCCACAGCTGGATGAGGGCCTCCCCACGCGTTCTCACTCACGGGGGTTGTTTAACAGTACGTATTGCTTGACCATACTTCACCGCGCTGGTCGTCAGCACGTCAGGAGCAGAGGACACGGGCTCGTTCGCATTCCACACTGACGTGAGCCGGGCCGGGAAATCGAACAGTATTGTCGTGATCTGCACTAGCCACTCCATTGGCGATCCTGCAGCAGCCATCACGAGGAGTTTATCGATTCTGCAAATTCGGAAAATCCGAGCCGCGTGAACGGGTGTCCCTCCCTCTCTCCTCCACGACTTCTCCCGTCTCGCGTGACACAAACACCCGCGGGACCACCATCGCCTCCCTCCTCCCCCCGCCTTCACCTCGCGTTTCTCCTGCTCCACGCTCAGAGACTTGTTCACGGACAGGAACATGTCCAGCACCGACATGGCGAGGCCCTGGCTAGGGGCGAGGGAGGCTGCGGCGGCTGTCGAGGAGGAGACGGCGGCGTGAGGACCGGGCCGAGTGAGAAGCCGACGGTGTCAGAATGGTTCGCCCACGTGCGAACCTCAACTCCGCCTCCGCAACCGGAGATGACGTAGCAACAACAATAATAAATAATAAAACACGCGGCTGACGATGCCGCGGCGGCCATCTTACACAGGGAGGACGCCGTACGCATTGGAAAGCACGGGGGGTGTCGTCATCAGCGGGTGACTGACGCCCCCCCCACCCACTGCTGGACGTGGTCCCTGGGTAAGATGGCCGCGATATTCTTCCCGCGAACGGCGCGAGAGTTGCAGATATCGCGATATCGCGATGCGATACGATATCACGATGTAACGCGATATCGTGAGACGACGCTATAACACGTCACACACACACACGCATGTGACGATATACTTGCTGTGACAGTGATGCACAAGCAAACGAAACAACAAATTCGCGAATAACGCCGTGGCTTTAAAATGGAAAATAGGCGCGCAATGGTGATATAAATTAGGGCCATTGGCCGAAACGTCGCCTCAACTGGTCCTGTAACATTAAAATAAACATTCACACAAAACTTTCTAGAAACGGTTATGTCAAACTTTGCTTCATTTAAAATGTATAGAAATGTTTAATTCAGTTTGTACTCGAATACACACTTTCCATTGTATACAGTCATGCAATACATGTACATCCATTACAGTAGTTTCCCCACCAGAATACAAAATATAAGGTAGCTATGAAGTTACAAAAAGGAGATGTTTGATCCGAGACCTAAAATTGTTCATTGTAAATCATCCCGACAACAGTTTTTTCAATGACATGCAGCCACATGGCCTACATAGGTGGAACAGGTCTTCCTTTAAGGGAGTTCGTGTCACCCATGTGCAGGGCTTGATTTGGGGGGAGGAATCGAGACATTTTTGCAGTGCCCAACATTCCAGAGGGGTGCCTATGTCAGTGACAACTGGGGATATTGCATCTGTGTGTATGTGTAGAGATCTAGGCAGTGCGCGCAGCTGAGCGGGTGCAATCGAGGACGAGCAGGTGTGCGCGTTGGGGCAGGAGGTTGGCGCCGGAGAGGCGGGAGGTAGGAGAGAGTAGGTGAGATGCACAGTAGGTGAGGTGCAGAGTAGGTGAGATGCAGAGTAGGTGAGATGCAGAGTAGGTGAGATGCAGAGTAGGTGAGATGCAGAGTAGGTGAGGTGCAGAGTAGGTGAGATGCAGAGTAGGTGAGGTGCAGAGTAGATGAGGTGCAGAGTAGGTGAGATGCAGAGTAGGTGAGATGCAGAGTAGGTGAGGTGCACAGTAGGTGAGGTGCAGAGTAGGTGAGATGCAGAGTAGGTGAGGTGCAGAGTAGGTGAGGTGCGGAGTAGGTGAGGTGCAGAGTAGGTGAGGTGCACAGTAGGTGAGATGCAGAGTAGGTGCGGAGTAGATGAGAGCGGGTAATAGAAGCAGAGTGTGTCGTAACGGTGGCAGTCATATGAGTGCCTACAACTGGTGCGAGAGTAGACTTAATAAAGTGTAAGCAGGTTACTTGTTACTCCGTGTCGGTGTGTAATTTCAAGACACTCCATATGTATGTAAAGGAACGAGCAGAGAATGTGGGGAGGCAGTGGTATTTTCTGCCCTGATGTCCCTTCTAAGCTTATGCAGACTTCTGCAGCAGCATGTCAATGTAGGCAACGTCCTGCAGGTCTTCCTCCAGGACTCCCAGCTCGTTCATGAGCTGCCTCGCTATGCGCTCCCCTTCTTCAGAACTCTGGCCTTCTTCCAGCACCACCTACACAAGCACACGCCGAGGCGTATGCACAGTGAGTAGCAAACACCAGATGTCAAAGGTGGTCAAAAACTGAAAGGACTATATGTTACAATTGGGAGCAGCGGCAATCAGTTTGTGGGTAAAGCACACTGTCAAACATTAGCCTTACTCCTACCCCTAATCAACAATTCATCAACCGTTTACAGGTACTTGCTCTCACACTGCCCGTACAGCCTTACCCTTAACCCTGCCTCGCAGTGGCTTAGCGGGGGCCTGTGGGCTAGAGAGGCTCAGGTGGTAGACTACAAAGAGGGGCGGGGGATTCATGCCAACCAAGCTACACCACTGTTACCCCAACAGTTATCCTGTCCAAAATAAGTAAAACCTATTTGCTGTACTGTCCCACACAGTGATGTCATTCCTCTATTGTTTATCTGGTGCTTAACACAATCCAAAGCAGCTGCAAAGGAGGAGATTCACCTCCAGCTCCATGAAGTCCCCGAGCCCCTCTACGGCGTCGATGTGCACGCGCGTTTGTCCCACCAAGTAGAGCAGCCGCTCCTTGCGCACCTCCCCCCTCACGGCCAGCGCTTGAGACAGCACGTCCTGCACGGACAGACGGTTCCACGCACCGGCATCGCACCGTGGCCACATCCCTCTCAACCTTCTTCACTCCGGAGAGGACTCCCAAGTTACTAATGGGCAGTTCTTTCACAAGATGTCAACTTATCGGCATCTCTTGACGGAGTGATGTATTACGGGGGTTGTGGCCAAAATGTATGTAATACCATGATTTCTAGTCAACAATGAATATGCAAAGGGGAAAACCACAATTGTATTTGGAGCATAACATTAAGAGTTGTTTTTAAGAGCCCAAATGTAAAATTGTACACCTTAACCCTTTTCCGTTCCAAGACGTCTGCAAGTTACAGCATGGGTCCCGTTCACCGCTGAATCTTGGAACACGCAAGCAGTTCACGTTGAATCTATTTAGAGGCATAGAGCGCCATTGTTTTTAAAGACAGTATTTACCACAGAAAACTGTAGCGACATGACCACACTCTATGATAGCTGGTGCCAAACTGTGCCAACACCCACCCGAATGTCCTTGTGGGAGCCTCAGTACCGATAAAGTTATTTTCTTTTTTCTTTTCTTTGATACCGTTCCGATGACGTACACATACGTCATGTACGTCATCGGAACGGAATGTGCGTCATCAGAACAGGAAAGGGTAAACATGCCCGCAGCAGCAGCATCTGGAGAAAGCTAGAGAGAAAGAATGCTCAAAACAAAACCCAACCTGCAATAAAACACACTGGGATTTACACACTTGTATGCATAATTTTTAAAGTGTCAAATACGGCATTCCTCAATATACCGAAACAGATACGTTCCTGAACAGTTGTCCATAAAGCAAAATTCCGTACATCGAACGATATTTTCCCATGGACTGCCATTATATAAAGACGTATTAAAATCTCACTTTAAAATAAGCAAATTATGTTCAGCACATTTAATTAAAAATGTATAATTTTACGATGAAATAATAATTATAACAAAAATATTTGAACTCTCAAAACACAGAATAATGAACCTTCCATCATGTTTAATGTAAATGAATGTACACCGTCAGTGAATGAATTTACCCCAAGTCCCACTGGGTCTGCCGTTGGGGTGAGGGTGTAGTTTGATGTTTTGGGTCCACTCGTGTCTGGTCGGTCGTAAAACATGAGCTTGCCTGTGCCATCCTAGAGCACACAACACAAATCATCTCATGATGCATATTTGCAAAAGATTATCAGAATGTATAAAATTGTATCGGGGTTTATTCTTCAACTTAATTCTCATCACATTAAATGTGTAATCCATAAACAATCATACCACATCAACAGGTTAACATTAATGATTTAAAGCGGACTGCGAAAAGGCAAATCCATCCAAACATGTGACAATGTCTCGCCAATTACATGATTATTACACTCTACAGTACATCAACACAGTACATTCATACATAAACTGTATGAATTCAGTCTCTTATACCATCACATCGGCGGCTTTGCGTGCATTTAAGACCACTTTGAAACAAACCTACGTGAAACACGCCGGGTAATCCTACAATTGCTACGAGTTAGGCACGGAGAAAATGTAGGAATGTATGAATGTTGAACTTCTTTCGCACCGTACGTAGCCAACTGTGCTAATCGGAGGTGCGGGAGAAGGACAAGAACGTGGGTAGGTGGAAGAAGAGGGCGGCGGTAGACAGGGGGGAACTCGTGAATGTGCAGCAGGCAGGTAGACACAATGAATGTGCAGCACGCAGGCAGGCAGACACAATGAATGGGCAGGGGAGACCCCGGAAGTTAAATGCAGTCAGTGACTTGCAGGAGTTGGTGAATCTCAACTGAGAAGAGACTCACGATGAAGTGTAGCAAGTAGGTTTTGGTGGGCAGGTAGACACGTGGGGAGGCAGGTAGACACGGGGGGGGGGGCAGGTAGACGTGGGGGGGGGGCAGGTAGACGTGGGGGGGGGGGCAGGTAGACACGGGGGGGGGGGCGGATAGACACGGGGGGCAGGGGACAGGTAGACACGGGGGGGGGGCTGGTATACACGGGGTGGGGGGCAGGTAGACGGGGGGGGGGGTGGGCAGGTAGACACGGGGGGGGGGGCGGATAGACACGGGGGGCAGGGGACAGGTAGACACGGGGGGGGGGGCTGGTATACACGGGGTGGGGGGCAGGTAGACGGGGGGGGGGTGGGCAGGTAGACAGACACGGGGGGGACAGGGAGATACGGGGGAGGGGAGGCAGGCAGACACGTGGGGGGGGGGGCAGGCAGACACGTGGGGGGGGGGGCAGGCAGACAGCGGCGCTCACGCTGAAGTGTCGCAGCTTGAGGCGGCCCCGCGTCACCACGTAGAAGGTGTCGCGCTGCGCGATTCGCTTCCCGGGGCCGCCGCTGAGCCGCTCGGCGGCGGCGCGCAGCGTGGCCACGTCCCGCACGCGGGCCTTCACCTCCACGTTGCGCATCGCTGCACTGCTCACACACACACAGACACAGGCAAAGATCCCCCGTATAGCCTTTACACACTGGAGGGGCAAGGATAAATGGCCGTCCATAAATGACGTCACGCACTTGGGGGGGGGTCAGACATTTGTGTCGAAGGGGGGGGGGGTTTGAGAAATGTGACGTCACATAAAAATGCGCAACTTTAAATGAATATAGACAACACGTTCTACTTAATTAAATAGACTTCTTAATAAATGTTTTCTCCTACAACATCAGAGTGCAGCGCCACATTAAATACGCACTACAATGACAATAGTTT